TGGACAGCCGGTGCCTGAGCCTTACGGCTTCCTACGTGCGGGCGCAGCACCAGCGTGACGGATCCCTGCCTGCCTGCCGCTTCTTTGAGGTGAGGGATTCCCCTGATGAGCACTCGGGGATCCCCCTGACCCTGATGGACACCCAAGGGTGTCCCACCTGCCCCTGCTTGGGGGCCCCAAAGGCACCTGGGGACCCCTGGGTGCCCCCCAGTCTCCTGCCAGCTCCTGGGTGCCCTGTGGTGTCCCCGACAACTCCCAGCACCCTGGGGTGCCCCCACTCCCTAACTGGGTCCCAAGCACCCTGGGGACCCCATTCCCCATCCCCCCCACCAGTACCCTAGGGTGCCCCCCCGCCACAACCCACTTCCACCCCACACCCATATCCCCCCTTCCCCAATCCCCTGCACCGTCCTGCCTCGGCTCACTGCCCCAGCTGCCCCCCACCCCCTGGGGGCCTCCCCAAGGCCCTCCAGCCACCTTCCCCGGGGTCTCCCAGCAGGAGTTCGACACCCACGGGCGTGAGGTGCCCATCCCCTATGGCATCTACAACCTGGACGACCTGAAGGCCCACGGCCGCCAGAAGGGCTGGTGCCCCTATTTCCTCGCCCGCTACTCGGTACGGGGGGGAGGACAGGGGGCCAGGATTGGCTTTGGGGTGGCTCCTTTGTCCCTAAATGTCCCTAAATGTCCCCATGCCCTGCCTTCCGGCAGATCCTTCATGCCAACATCGTCGTCTACAGCTACCACTACCTGCTGGATCCTAAAATCGCCGATTTGGTCTCAAAGGAGTTGGCCAAGAAGTCGGTTGTGGTCTTTGATGAGGCCCACAACATTGGTCAGCACCCCCATGAACCCCATTTTTGGGCTGTCACCCTCTGTCCCCTGCATCACCTGCAGCAGGGGGAGTGACACTGTCCCCCATCCCCGCAGACAACGTCTGCATCGACTCCATGGGGGTGAACATCACGCGCCGGACGCTGGACCGCTGCCAGGCCAATGTGACCACGCTCCAAACCACCATCCAAAAGTGAGCATGGCCCCCCACCTCCCTTCCATTGTCCCCATCGTTTTCCCACACACACCCCCCCGGGTGACTGCATCCCCCCTTGCCGCAGGATCAAGGAGACAGACACGCAGCGGCTGGCGGAGGAGTACCGGCGCCTGGTGGAGGGGCTGCGGGAGGCCAGCACTGCCCGGGAGACTGACCTTTACCTTGCCAACCCTGTGCTGCCAGATGAGATCCTGCCGGGTACGGGGGGGGGGGGGGGTGACCCCTCTTTTGAGGTGCCCCCCTGGCCCCCCCTATTTCCATGCTGGATGAGCACGGGGGGTTTCTGAGCTCCCTTTTGTGGCAGGGAGCCCCCCAAGCCCTTTGGGGTGCCCCCAGCCCCACACCAGCCTCCAGTGCCCCACAACCTCCCCTCCAGACAAGCATGGACACCCTGGGGGTCCCAGAGCCCCTCCTTGGAGTGTGGGGAGAGTGTCAGGCGCTCCCCACCCCAGCCCCCCCCCCCCCCGCCACTGTCCCTGGCCCACAGAGGCAGTTCCCGGCAGCATCCGGACGGCTGAGCACTTCGTGGGCTTCCTGAAGCGGTTCGTGGCCTACCTGCGGGCACGGGTGCGGGGGCCGCGGGTGGTGCAGGAGAGCCCCCCCGCCTTCCTCAAGGACCTCTACGAGAAGGTCTGCATCGAGCGCAAGCCCCTGCGGTGAGTCTGGGGGGATCTGTCCCCACCACAAAGGGACCTACCCCCAAGGGAATGTCCCCCCAGGGTGGCTTGTAACCACACCAGGGTGGCTTGTAACCACACCAGGGTGGTCTGTGACCCCCCAAAGGTGCTGTGTCCCCCCACTAGGTTGGCCTGTGACCCCCCCCCCAAAGGTTTTCTTCACCCCCCCAAGGTGTTGTGTCCCCTTCCTCGGGTGGTGTCTCCCCTCCATGGCATGACCATGTCCCCCCCAAAGGCAGCATTTCCCCTCCTCGGTGTGACATGACATTTGTGGGATGACGTGTCCTCCGCCCAGGGTGATGTGTGCCCCCCCCCCAGGTGACACGTTCCCCCCCCACGGGTGATCTACCCCCCAGGTTCTGCGCTGAGCGGCTGCGCTCGCTGCTGCGGACACTGGAGATCGTGGACATGGCCGACTTCTCCGCCATCACCCTCGTCGCCAACTTTGCCACCCTTGTCAGCACCTACTCCAAGGGTCAGCCAGGCGCCTGGGTCCCCCAGGGTGGGCAGTCCCTGAGGACCCCTTTCGAGGCAGGGGGGGTGGTCTGTGAGCCCCCCCATTGTGGGGATTGGCACCCATGGGTGGTGGCACGGTCCATAAGCCCCCTTGGGGGGGTGGATGAGCACCCTTGGGTAGAGGAACACCCTGTGTCCTGCTTGGGGGGGTGCTGGGTGGCCTCCCTGCCCCGGCTGGCATTGAGGGTGCCTCCCTCATCCCCCCGCTCCAGGTTTCACCATCATCATTGAGCCTTTCGACAACAGGACCCCCACCATCTCCAACCCCATCCTGCACTTCAGGTGTGGGCACAGGGGGGGACACGGGAGGGTATCGGGGAGGGACAGGGACACTGAGGGGGGGACAGGG